CCCAGGCGTCCCCAAGTCAGCTGCTGCTGAAACTGATCAGCAGCTGATTACAGGAAGCCCAGGGCAGAGCAACTCTGCCTCAGGCTTCCTGTAGTCAACTGCTGGTCAGTTTCAGCAGTGGCTGATGCCAGTTCCGACTTACATACAGATTCAACTTAAGAACAAACCTACAGTCCCTATCTTGTACATAACCCGGGGACTGCCTGTATACTATTTTAAATTTGTCAAGTATTACTACAAAGACACAGCATGTTTGATAAACTTTAGCAACACAGTACTAAAGTTCCCCTTTCTTTTTGTTTGGTAAAGAACCCCCCACCCACTCACACACACATACAACTGCTAGTTTGCCAGCTAACAGGAATCCTCAGCCTACTCAGGTATCTTCACTGTAAACCCAACTGCCTGCTGTGCAGTTATCACTTGATCCAGAAAGGTATTTGTTACTATCAGACCCTATAGAAGTCAACATAAGAACAGCCTTACTGGGTCAGACCTTGGTTCATTTTAGTTCAGTATCTGCCAGGAGCTTCAGATAGAACGAACAAGACAGGGAATCATCTAGAGCATGTCTACACAGCAGCGTTATTTCGGAATAACATAGTGCACATCTATGCTATAAACCTTTATTTCAAAATAATGTGGAGCTGCAGGGCTTCTTACTCTGACTCATGGTAACCCTCAATTCACGAGGAGTAAGGAAAGTTGAAGGAAGACTACTCTTCCTTCGACTTTGCATTCTCCTTTGGACTGAACGGTTTTGAATAAGTTTGTATCATCAGTAGATTTTGCCACTTCACTCTCTACTCCTTTTTCCAGATCATACATGAATATGTTGAACAGCACTGCTCCCCTTACAGACCTCCGGGGGGCACCACTATTTACCTCTCTCTATTTTGAAAAATGACCATTTATACCTAACCTTGCTTTCCTGTCTTTTAACTAGTTACTGATCCAAGAGAGGACCTGCCCTCTTATCCCTGCTTAAGAGCCTTTCATGAGGGACCGTGTCAAAGTTTTTCTGAAAGTCCAAGTACACTATAGCCACATGAAACGAGAATGTCAAATATCACTCAGGATCAAGTTAGATTGTATACTTGTAGTTTTCTACAAGTGCAGCTCACTACTTGGGTACTAAACTGTCAGAATGTTAATAATTCCAAAACAAAAAACAAAAAAGCAAAAAATTAAAGGAGATTGCCTATCTTCTGGAACTAGAAGGGACCTTGAAAGGTCATCAAGTCCAGTCCCCTGCCTTCACAGCAGGACCAAGTACCATCCCTGACAAATTTTTGCCCCAAATCCCTAAATGGCCATAGTAGGCCAATGCTCAAACCACTGAGCTATCCCTCCCCCCCTACCTTTAAATTCTTACTTACTAGACTGAAACAAAGCCAGCCTGCCTGCCGTGTATTTTTCTTACTCAGATATTCTCTAAGTATGGACACTTTCACGCCTGCCAACACAGGGAGATGGGGGGGAGCAGTTGCCCCAGGACTCAGTGATTCAGAGAGACCCGGGGCTCCCAGCTTCTGCCACTGCTACTGCAGCAGCCCCTGGCCCTTTAAATCACCGTTGGAGCACTACGCTGCGCACTCCATGTGGCTCTTAGGCCTGGGGGCAGGCACACTGTGCTCCGGGCGACCGGAAGGGCTGGATACCCTCGGTCCTGCCCTTCTCCCCAAACCTGTACCCTATGGGAGCACAAAGCCGTCTCCCTTCCCTCCCCCCCCCACTTATCTTGCCCAGGGGTCCACGCAGGCGGTCTGCTCCCCCCTGGACACTTTAGATAAGAACAGCCATTTTAGGGGTCATCACAGACAGCCTCAATGGCTCCACGGCAGGATGAGGGGATCACCGAGTACATGGCAAGGCACAGTGGCCTACTGCTGAAAGCTGGAGAGGAGCAGAACCATAGACTGGAAAAAAAAAACCAAACCAATGAGCGCAAAACAGAGATGAGTGAGAAACAAGAAGGCTGGAGAGGAGCAGAACCGCAGACCGGAAAAAAAACCCCAAACCAATGAGCACAAAACAGAGATGAGTGAGAAACAAGAAAGGGCAAGATTGCGTGTACTCCTTTTCAATGACCCACTAGGCCTTTTAGTTTTCTTAAGATGCTACATGCTAGTCACCCTTGTGACAGACTCAGTGTCATGCCAGAAACATGGAGACCCCAACACATTGTATGAAGACTCTGGATTGCCAATATTTGCTTGATTGTTTTAAAATAAAACATCCAAAATATGCATCCCTTACTGAATAGTTTTCCTTCCCCTCAGCTCTCCTTATGCTTCTCCTCCAGGTCAAGCAGGTGTCGTTAAGGATCATCATATTACTAAAGGCTTCCTTTACTGCAAAGAGAATGAGAAAGGGGGAAGCATCACAACTAAAAACATTTTTAAACCCTCCTGTAATATTGATCATGACCGGCTGAAAACGACAAAATATGAATCTATTTTTACTTTAAAGGATCCACTGTTATTAGGAAGGAGTGGAACCTCATTCCTTTTTGAGTGCCTAGATACTGTAAATAGGGAATGGAGCTTATTAATCACTCTGAAATATGCATCACTCTGAATAAAACATTATGGCGGGTCTTTCCAAAGTTTGCAACTGAACAGTGACTTAATACAGCTCTGAAACTTTAGTGTGCTGAAGAAAAATGCTGTGTTTAACCATATGAATATAAATGAAACAAGCACAGAAACACTTTCCTTAACTTTGGCAAATCTTTAAGCTTCCCCTTAATTCTTTAGTAGTGTTCACTTAACACAGTAATGTCTTCTATATGCTGCCCCTACCCATCCCTCCCTTTGCTGCTCGCTTGTGTTCTTGCAGTTCCAAATGAAGAATGGGACTGACCCCTCAGTTTGTAACTCTGGGGTTCTACAGTACCTCCCCTTTGATTACTTAATCCAGGCTGCTTGCAAATATGACACTGTACACTCATTTACTGATGGTCAAGCTTAACACAGTAATGTCTTCTATATGCTGCCCCTACCCATCCCTCCCTTTGCTGCTCGCTTGTGTTCTTGCAGTTCCAAATGAAGAATGGGACTGACCCCTCAGTTTGTAACTCTGGGGTTCTACAGTACCTCCCCTTTGATTACTTAATCCAGGCTGCTTGCAAATATGACACTGTACACTCATTTACTGATGGTCAAGTACCACACAAGGCACTTCTGGCCATACCTGCTACACCCTCTGGAGCATCTCATCTTTCACCACACAGGTTGACTGAGTAGGACAAAGAACAATCCAACTCTACAGGGTCTCCAACAGCTGACAGAGAGAAGCTATTGTGCAACCACCTGTCCCAGAGCTGAGACAACATTCAGGAGGGAAAATACATGAGGCTCCTTGAACCTCCATGCTGCTAAAGATCGGTGAGTACAACCTCCCTAGGAACAGAACAGCGGGCAAGCTAAAAGTTTAATAGAGGCCAAAGCATCACAAATTGGTGATCTGCCTTTAGCATCCCCTCCTCCAATCCCATGACTGATGAATGGCTACCTGAGAACAGCCCATCCCTCGTTAAATATAAGGCTATTATAAGCAAAGCTCATCTCACTAGAGAACTGCATATAGTTGAGCAGCAAAGACCACTCCCCTAGGCAAGCAGATAATCAGTGCAGAGCCTGGAAACCAATGAGTTCTTGGTGTTATGTGGACTGTATCCACAAGATATATATACTACCTATATAGCCCTGAGGATGTCACATGGGCTGCAGCTGGGTGCTGACTGGGCTGCAGGTGGCTCACAGGCCATGTGTTGAGAACCACTGGCTTATGGGAATGCCCATTTCCTCAAGATGAGACGGGGTTACAGCTTGGCATAGCCATCTGTGGGGAACCCGATCAAGAGATCCTACATGAGACTGAAGAGGTTCATTATTGCATAAACATTTCAGTTTAATGTTAGTCTTTGTTCAATGTTTGAATCTCACATTTGGGCCTCGGGAGGTTGAAACCAAAAGAAAATGTTTCAGATCCACCCTCTGGGTGCCAAATAATGAAATGAGACTCCCACACTTACTTACTTCTGTGAGTTATGACACCTACCCTCTGTCTTAATTGCTATGGCAATTAGGGCTGAGGCCCCCTTAGAGGATGCTGTAGTAATGTTCACCATGTAGTTAGTACCAGAGTTGAGCTCTAAACACACCTCTGGCGTCTCTTCACCTGTAGTAAAGTTAAATATCATTTCAAGGGAGAATTCCTTCTGGTACCATCTTCGTCCCAATATATGAAACTGTTGTGGGAGTTTAAAATAAAAGATTAAATTAGCTGTGGAGCTCCAAAATTCAGAATGCTGGCTCACTAAAGTCAAAGCAGCAGGGGCAGATGACCATTTTGCGGGGACCAGGGCAGCCCAATTTTGCGGGGCCCCCCTTTACTACGGCGCATGAGTAGTGACGCCACAGCGCATGCTCAGGGCTTCTTGAAGCGCGGGGCTCGGGGCGGCCGCCCCACTCGCCCTGCCCTATATCCGCCCCTGCAAAGCAGCCTACAGTGACGCCACAGTGCATGCTCAGGGCTTCTTGAAGCGCAGAGCCCAGGGCGGCTGCCCCACTCGCCCTGCCCTATATCCGCCCCTGCAAAGCAGCCTACACTTTTCTGCTTTACTGGGACATAAGTAAATATGAGCTGCTTTACTGAACAGAGATGATTAACTCAGAGCCTTCATTTGTTCCCACCAACTAAAACAAACATTAAAATAATTGCATCTGACGAAGTGGGTCTTTGCCCACGAAAGCTTATGCTCCTACACTTCAGTTAGTCTATAAGGTGCCACAGGACTCCTCATCGCTTTTATTAAAATAATTAGCACTTGTGCTAGGCCCCAGGAAAATACAAATCAGAATAAGCCACTCTCCTTCAATATTAACTCTGCTATACCTACTGTTAATTTTCCCTGTACTTCTACATGTGTCTCACCAGGCCATAGAGGCATCAACAACATTGAACTCTAAGCTTTCATCTCCTCAGACCTGGCTGGTGTAGAGGAATGGCTGTCTGAGATTTGTTTGAAATTAGGGCATGGATGAGGGTGACTGAACACAAGACTGCATACCCTGTTACAATTTCCAAAGCTGCTGTCAGTAGACTACCCCAAAATGCGTTAAATGAAGCTGTTGGGAAACTGAAATAAGTGGAAAATGGAAGTGCTTAGTAAGCATGGGAAATGCATTATTCCAGTGGTCATTAGTTTGCATTCACCCGTTTGAGACAGGCTCAAGGAGTTGGTTTTGTCCAGTAAAACCGTAAATCACTTCAGACAAGGCTACTTTGTAGACTTCTCCTTCCCCGCTTCAGCTGCGGTCAACAAAGGCACTCAAGCTAATGGTCCTTCTGGTGTATAAGAGCGGGACAGTGGCAGGTCATTTTCTAGGACTGGTTCCCAATTTGGAACTCATTCCCACCCTGGTCTGCTAGAGTTGATAATCTTTTACAGCATGTTCAGGTGGTTCAAGTCCAAATTTTTTCCCTGGCTTTCCAATGAGATGTCATTATTGGCTAAAAGTGGGAATAGTCGTGATTTTATTATTAGTCTGGGTGATCCTGGTTGAATGATTCATTTCTGTGCCTTTGTATTTCATATTTTATTCTTGTTTTTGCATATTTAAATATATTACAAACGTACCTAGAACCACCTTTCAAAGAGTCACATAAATAAAATGCATCACACTACAACAGGTTCTTTAGATTAATCTACTGCACTGGGTGTGAGCTTGCAGTGTATTGCGCAAAACAAAATTTCCAAACATTCATGTGTGGCAGGAAATACAATCTAGTGCTTAGAACTGTGGACTGGGAATCAGAAGGTAATGGATTCTGTTCCTGGTTCTGCACAACTTTATGTTGCGACCTTGGACAAGTCAATGACTTCAAGAAGACACAAGTATGTGCCTGAGTGCTCTGCTGAATATGGACAGTTTCCTGAATCAAAGCCTTAATTTCTTCCCACTTATTACACTAATCAAAGTTATTGTCATGTATTTGTACAGCTCATAGACCAATGGGGCCTTGGTCCATGATTGGGTCCCATAGGAACTTCTGCAACACAAAACAGAACACAGAGGACTTTCTCCCAAAGCTATAGTAACTAATGGTAGTGTACTTGCTGTTAATTTCCCTGTAGCTTTTCAGATTTGAACAGAAGAGGGCTCAAGCAAATGTTTACGTATTTTACTGAATTAGGGCCCGAGTCAAAGTTTGGTGAGCCCTTCACTCTACCTCGTGGCTGGGATGTATTTTTCCCTTCATTCATTCACCCAGCCTAACTGAAAGTGCTACATGGTTCTTACTGGAAAGAAAGAGCAAACAATTGACTCTTCATTCAACACTGCAACAGACCCACCTAAAACAATAAAATCTTCAAAGCTGTTCAGTTACCCAGATTAGTTCCAAAACTCCCCCTTGCACACAGAAATTGCATCTCACTTACTGTATAAGTTTCCTCTGTCCCAGCTCTTGCAACTTTTCTCTGCCACTTCACGCACGTTTCATTAAATACAGTCACATTGCTGAGCAATTCCTCCTCTGTATGAAGAAAAATAAACACAGAAGGGAATTTTCTGCTATTACCTTTACAAAAAGCCTCTCTCTCACACACCCTTTATCTCTCCCTCTCTAATGTGCTCTGCCACATGCCTCCCAAGGGATAAAACAGGAATTGCAAGACCAGAAAGGATGTTCTCATCCAACTCTGTAGACTCCTGAAGATATGAATACAACATCAAAGCGAAGGAGCAAGCACAGCTCTACAGATTATTTTGCGGAATACCAATCAAGCACAAAATGCCATGAAAAACAAAACCAAACTTTACTAGATTTTGGTCTGTAGTGTATGATAGTTTCACTCCCAATGGCTGGAAAGTCCTGAAAGAGGAGGTGAAAGACCATTCATTTTACAGGAAGTAGACACAACTTCTACCTAGGCATTTACACCATGCTCATCAACATTGTTTTAAGATCTTTGTTGTAAGATCTTTCATTCTGACTTGATCCTTCTTATACTGGTGGTCAATCCAGTTGGAACAGTCTGGGAAACCATGTGTGCAATTTGCACACTGCGCTGAAACAAGTAGGCATTTCTGTACTCATGGTAAAGTGTGGGTATACATGTAACAACACTGTACGTTAGAAGCTGGAAAGCAAGAACAAACACATCTGTTCTGCAGCTACTGACACTGACAGGAGAGATGCCCCCAGAGCTCATGCTGTATCTCACAAGATTGATTGGTCAACAGATCTTTAATCTGGTGTGTGATGCAGCTCTACAATAGGAGGACTGCCTCAGTTTACACCAAATTACATGACATTTAAAAAGGATTGGATTAGGAAAAGATGCTTCCATAAGAAGTATTTGAAAAAGAGACAAAAAGAGGCTTATGAAACCTTAAAGAAAACAACCTTTATGAAATCACTTTAGGAAGGTTCACAGAGTGATGTCTACATCTGAAAGAGTGCTTGTGGTGCGAGTTCATTCATTCATTGTGTTTGTTTGTTTAAAGCACCCTTTTCAATTATTCTTTAACTTGAAAGTAAATAGCACATCCACAATAAAAGCATTCTTTACAAACGGGATATATACGTAGCGAGTTGTTATTAACTGTACATCTGCATAATATTATGTAAAAGATGTTTTATGCCCCAAAGAAAATGCAGCCAAAAAGAACAAATTTAATACTTTGTTAGGCAATTCTCACAGCAGTCGATGGGCATTTTGTCTGAATACAGACCATACAGTATTTGTCTCTAATTTAGACAAGACAACCCGATATCCCTCTTCATGATCCTGCACACCTAGCAATAACTATGGTGGGTTCTGAGACGTGGTGGAAAAAGAGGAACACACTCCTTTAAAGTGACAATTTAAGACCGACTGCCTCATACATTTGTTCTTCAAACCTTAAAAGTTTCTCCTTGGAACAGTCAGAATTCCAACCAAGTAAGCCTGTTATTACTGCACTAGAAACTTAAACGTACTCCTCTTATTATAATTTATTTTTATAATTATGGCACCTACAGGCCCCAGCCATGGCACAGGGCCCCTCTGTGCCAGGTGTTGTACAAACACAGAACAAAAAACACCCAGCTTCTGGCCCCAAAGAGTTTACAACTGAGTTGAAGACAAGAAATACCAGATGGACGCGGACAAACTGATGGACAAGTACAAGGAAACAATGATCAGGAGAACAAAAGCACTCACCAGTCGTTGAGAGTATTATGGGTATTTGTAAAACAAGTTTGGTAGACGCCTCAGTGACATTCACTGTGTAGTTTACACCGAGGGGAAGAGGGAGGCACACCGTGGGGTTCTCCTCCTTGGTGGTCAAGTTAGTCATCATTTCATGGGATGATTTCCTCAAGCGTCCCTGTTGTTCCTGTATGTGAAACTATCATAGAAATAAGACAAACATACTTTTAATAAGCTCTTCAGAAAATCTGAGAGCATCACACAGCTGTTTAAAAGTCACATCAAATTACAGGCAGTCCCCGGGTTACATGGATCCGACTTACATTGGATCCCTACTTACAAACGGGGTGAGGCAACCCCGCACTAGCTGCTTCCCCCCAGCAGACCAGGGAGACGCGGAGCAGCTTTTCTCAGCAGACACCTCAGCTTGAGAATAAAGGACTGAGGGAAGTGAGGTATGGGAGAATAAAACTGAGCTCTGGAGAAATGTTTGGCTAGAGTTTCCCCTACAATATGTACCAGTTCCGACTTACATACAAATTCAACTTAAGAACCAACCTACAGTCCCTATCTTGTACGTAACCCGGGGACTGCCTGTACTAACTTTTTTCAATACCTTTTTTTTTAGGATTATTAATACTTCCACCAAAATCTTTAATCCAAAATCCTACATTCCTATCCAACTGTTAATACAAAAAATATTAGATCTGACTTACGAGGTAGGTTTCCTTCACCCCGACTCTTCCAGAATGTCTCCTCCATTTCAAACAGGTATAATTAAATACTGAAACATTGTTGAATCCTTCCTCTTCTACAGAACAGAAGAAAAGAGAAAAAGTCACAGCTTCTCAAAAACTGTTGTCCATACATCTAGGTACCTTTCCTCCCTACTGCATTTAAAAACTCAGTTGACTTTCTTGTAATTTATAACGGATTATTTGTCGCAGTGGTCAGGACACTAACACACGATACAGGACAGCTCCTGCAGTGAAGGAACAACAATCCAAACAGATAAGACAGACGAAGGGTAAAGTGAAGTACTAAGAAGTGAAGTAACAAAAAGTCACACAGCAGGCCAGCGGCAGGGCTGGGGACAGAACTCAATCTGCAGTGCCTGTGTTTTCCCTTATGAGCCACACTGCCTCAATAGTCTCTGAATGTTCCCCTCAACCTGTGTAGTGGATTTCAACTCTGACGGTATGTCTACACTTGCTCCTTATCTTGAGATAGGGATGCAAATGTAGCTTACCGAAATTGCTAATGAAGCGCGGGATTTAAATATCCCGCGCTTAATTAGCATAATCTCGTCTGGCCGCCATTTTGAAATCGCATTATTGCCAAATAAAACGCCCCGTGTAGCAGCATTATTTCAAGAGAAAACCCTTCTCTCGAAATAACTGTTACTCTTCATACAATTAGGTTTACCAGTTATTTCCAGAGAAGGGTTTTCTCTTGAAATAATGCTGCTACACGGGGCGTTTTATTTGGCAATAATGCGATTTCAAAATGGCGGCCAGACGAGATTATGCTAATTAAGCGCAGGATATTTAAATCCCACGCTTCATTAGCAATTTTGGTACACTACATTTTCATCCCTATCTCGCAATAGGGAGCAAGCGTAGACATACCCTGATATTCTGCTCTGGTTTTGTGCACTTAAGTGTCGGTATTAACCAACAGAAAGAGAAAACAACATCAGCTGAAACTACAGCGTGCTACTCTAAGTTATTTTTTTCCTTAAAATGAATTGTATTTTATCGTATTTTGAAAAGATTTTAAAAATCAAAATGTTGATACCAAAAAATATTTTCCAGCAATATCATCTACTGCATATGTACTAACATTCAACGTACAGGTGCCAATACAAAAATGTGGCAAGTTTTACTTATGCAACAACACACACCATGCTCAATGGATTCCTGTATACCTTGAATGGTGCCCAGTGCTGGAAAACTGAAGTCCTGGGCATCTCCTGGTCCCTCACACACAGTTTCCCTCCAGCAACTACCTGGCCTGACCATATCTCATGGTCCTTACCTTCAAGGCCTACTTGATCTGACCATGCTTGGTCGTTCATGCAGCTTCTCTCCAGCAACCACTTTGTCTAGACCTTTGAATCCAGTAAATGCAATGCTCCACATATTAGCAATCCCTCACTCACTTGACTAGAGTCACAAAAAAATCAGCTACATGAGCATATTCACTTTGCGCTATCATCCCCCTTAAGCTTAACAGCTAGGTAAATGAACCAGCAGGACACTTACCCACAGTATTAATTGTGATAGTGATGGGATCCGAGTACTCAGGAGACACTACAGTGATGCTCACCGTGTAGTTAGTGCCTGCCTTTAGGTCTAGACACAGCTCTGGAGTCTCCTCCTTTGATGTGAAATTAAATGTTGCTTCATTGAAAGATGCCTTCTGATGCAGTCTTTGCTCTTGCACATGAAACTGTTAATGGAGAAGAAAGTCAAAATTTGAGTTCTACAGAAATTGCTGTGTGTTTTATGAATGAGAGTATTGTGATAAGCATGTGTCTTTTCAGTAATTATATGCATATTCTCTCATTTTAATCTCTTGTCATCCTAGCACCTTATCCTACAAAATACACATCTCTACAAGTCCCTTGCTCTATGGATTCAATTCTGTAATTGCAACTGTATTCGTCTTGGCATATTGATTGCTGTTTTGGTATATCAATCAATTTGCTCTTTATTTTCTGTTGCATTAACCTTTGTGCTGCCCAGTTTACAGATCCTCTGCTGTGTTAATCAAGTCATTGCTATATTCTCTATCATATTCATACTGAAATGAACTTGCTGGCCTATTACTGGACACTAGGTTGATCTGCAGAGCGACGCTCAGCCAGCAGGACTCTGAGGAAAGGGAGTCAGAGGCGATTTGGGAGCAGGAGCTAAAGGTGACAGCTTGGAGGTGACAGGTGAGAGAAGGCCAAGCAGTTCAGGGGCTGATGGTCTTGGAAGCAGCAGGTCACTGGTATGGGGGCCACCAGTGGTAGCAATGGATGGCTAATAACCAGAAGTGACCTGTGAAAATATGGTCTGTGGGGATGGACCCGAGTAAGACTATAGGGGCTGGATTAAAGGACTGGACTCCGGCTGGGGCTTTGGCTGGCCAGTGCATGATTATCTCCCACAGAAGGGCAACTGGGGGCCCAAGTTCTCCTAGACTAGGCCTGAGGAGCACCAACTTCACACCCATGCCCGGAGGGGCTGGACTTGCACTAGTTATGTGCTACATTTGTCATCCTTTATTTGTATCTTAAAGATACAAGATAACTGCATTCTTGATTTATGGCCAAAAAAAAAAAAAAATAATTACAATGCACATAAGGCAAAAAATACTCTTGATTTATGGCCAAAAAAAACCAAAAAAATTACAATGCACATAAGGCAAAAAATAAAAGGATCCTTTGTGATATGCCGCAGTCTGCAAGTATTTACTGAAACCCATCAAAGACTAATACATGAAACGTCTGGAGCACATATGCACGTGCACTGAGTGTGGGGAATACCCAGCACACTGTCAATTAGCGAAGAGTCTGGTGTGTCACAGGACGCACAAAATGACTTCCTATGCTGGGATCTGTTACAATATCGTTATTGCCATATTAAAGTGACCTGCTCCTTTCAGTACAAACATTTCAGTAACTAAAAGGATCCTTTGTGATATGCCGCAGTCTGCAAGTATTTACTGAAACCCATCAAAGACTAATACATGAAACGTCTGGAGCACATATGCACGTGCACTGAGTGTGGGGAATACCCAGCACACTGTCAATTAGCGAAGAGTCTGGTGTGTCACTGGGATCTGTTACAATATCGTTATTGCCATATTAAAGTGACCTGCTCCTTTCAGTACAAACATTTCAGTAACTTTACCAAATATTTACTTCCATAATTGCCACCAAATAATGATGGACGTTGAAGACCATGCTTTCTAGGCGCCCTGCGCCTGGTCTCTAACACTGTAGCCACTCCTCTGTCTGTGGAGTCTCTGCCCATCTGATCTCCTTTCACCACTGCACAAAGGGGACTTTTTTTAGACAGAGGAAAGGACACAGACTGGGGACTAAGTGGTAGCAAGTCAGCAAAAAAAAGCAGGATGGAAAACACCATTTTCAGCTAAATTACCAAGGGCTAGTTTTGCAATGGAAAAAATCCCAAACACTGTCCCGCTTACCAAATACACCATTTTCAAGTCAGTTTCACTCGTCGTCCTCCTCCATTTCACACAGGTTTGATTAAATACAGACACGTTCCCGATGGCTGCCTTCACTGTAGGGGAAGGAGGGAATATGAAAGTCACTCTAAACCAAGAAGACAGAGAAATAACAAACAACAAAAAACCCACACACACCCAAAAGTTAATACACACTACATTTGGAACCTCACCATACCGATTACCAGTGCTGAAAACTGAGAACACAGGAATCTAGCTCAGAAATATAAGCACTTGGGTAAATAAAATCTCATCAAGAGCAGTTTAGCATAGGAAAAAAAGGCAGATTAGAAAAAGAGAAAGGTAAGTGAAATCAGTCTATGATAATCTACATAGAGGACCAAGAGATGAAAAGAACAATTAATAGAATTCACATTAAGACAGACATGCATTTAGGGCTAGTTTGTTCTTCCCCCATCCCTAGTGATGCATACTCCTGAAATGGAGGGCTTAGGATGGGATCTTTTCCTCCCTCAAACTCAGATTAGATCTTTGCATGGAGTTCCGGAGAAGGGCAAAAGTAGAACAGGGTTTAAAAAAAAAAAAAAAAAAAAAAAAAAAAGAGAGAGAGAGAGAGAGAGAGAGAGAGATAAATTCATGGAGGCTTAGTTCATCAATGGCTATGAGTTAAGATTGTCACAGAAACAATCCCATGCACTGGACTGCTAGATGCTGGGACAGGGAACGGATCATTCAATAGATTGCCCTGTTCTGTTCATTCTCTTTGAAAGATCTGGCATTGGCCACAGTCAGAAGACAGGATACTGGGCTAGACAGACCACTGATCTGACCCAGTATGGTTATTCTAATGTTCCTATTAAGCCATACTTATTTTAGATCATGCAGCATTGAGTTCCACGGGTTAGTTATCCATTGTATATGAAAGTACTTCCTTTTAAGTTTTTGCTGCCATTTCATAAAAAATATTATATTTAAAAACAAACCCTGAAATTCTGTGTATTTTGAAGATGCCAGGTTCTCTCTCTAAGGCACAGAATGACCTGAACACAGGATGGTGCGAACAGCAGTAATGAAAGTTTTCCCACCAATATATTCTTATGCCCTGATACCTCTGACTATAACGGAACAGTAGTTTAGCCACCACGCCAATAAAAGCATTGGCATCTCTGCTAAATTGCAGTAAATTTGTTGTTTTATGAATTGCAAGGACACCTATCCACTAGGAATGTAACTGATTTGAACAAATAGCAACAAGCAGCAAATCTTGGTTACTATCAACCTCAGCCAGACGCAAACCAGAGACTAAGAGCTAAAAGAATCTGCATCTTATTACTACACAAAGTCCAGAACTGTACTCAGTTCTCTGACCATGCTCTGCCCAGCTCCTACCCCCAGATTTAGAGGTTCAGATAGAAGGGAACAGAGCTCCTAAGTCCATAACTGGTTTTTGTTTTGCAAAAACAAAACTTAACCAAGATGGGTCCACAAAATGAGTCCCCTCATTTTTGACCAAGCAGTCCCCCAGATTATAATGTACAATATATAATCTATCATTTTGTACATCCTCTTGTTTCCCTCTTACGCAAGAGACAAATGTCTGAATAGCCATCATCACACCCATTTGTTATATTCCTCTACGATAGCTCCTCATCCATTTCTACTTTTCAGATTAAATAACCCCTTCTTTTAAAATCTCTCTTTGTACAGAAGTTACCGCTTTTGTCTGCTCTGCAAACACTCATCCCACAAGTCATGGTCATTTCTCTTTTTTGAGTGTTTTCTCTTTGCAGTGTCTTTTTTAGCTAAGGTGATTGCAACTCTCAGGAAACAAACTAAATATCAGGCAGGAAACCTTTTTATGTGGCTGTATTCAAGTATAATTTTATCGAAAAGATCATAACAATCCATAGAAAATCCGAGCCCTATTCTAGTTCAGCAACAAGAAAGAAAATTACATATGCTTTCAAAAGATAGTACTATTTATCCTTTTCTCCTATGCACTGTAGAATAGATGTTCTCTTAACGGTAATCTTAACTGCTATCTTGTTTCTATTGAACAGGAACTGATGTTTAATCAGTGTAAGAAATATACTATCGAATGCTATGTGATAGTGAGACATCTATTCTCTTGTCTAATGTATCCTATGTATGCTCTGATTCACAAAACATAGTGGGCTGTAGCACGTAAGTAAGGACTGAACATGCTTAATCTCAACTCCAGTTCAGAATCCCCTATGAAATAGGTGAAGTTGAAGGCAATTATTTCCTTTAGTTTAAGAAAAGGAATTTGAACTTGTCCTTAATGTAGCAGGCCACTGGATGACACTGTTGTCCCATAAGATAAAAGCTCAAATAAAGCTGGCAATCCAGCCAGGCATCCACTTCAAGTGGAAGAGTTCTGAAAACAGGAAGTAAAGGGATGGGGACGGGGCCAAGGGCATGGAGGGAAGTACCGGACGAGTGAGAGGTCACAAGAGACTACAGGAAGAGGGAAAACAGGGGAAGTGCCATTAAGGCTGGTAAAAGCCAGGGAAGGGAGCTGGTGGGAAGAGATAAGAGTGAGAAAAACTACAAGAGAGAGAAATAATGATCCAAAATTGAATCTGGAAGAGAAATGAAGTGACAATAAGAGAAACAAAGAAGGAAATGAGCAGAAAAAAGATAAGTTTGACTCTTCGGCTATGGTCTCATCTATTCATTTTCCAACCATTTTTAAATTCTCCAGAAAAAAGCAGAGAACTCACTTTAAACCAATGTGTGGGAAGGACCCTACAAGGCAAATATGAGCAACCCAGGCATAGGTGCTGGTACTAGGGGTGCCGCTGCACCCCTTGGCTTGGAGTGGTTTCCCTCATCTATAGGGTTTACACTTTGGTACAATGGCTCTCTGTATACCCCACTGTACCAATTGTTTCAGTACCTCTAAACCAGTGAAAAGGCGGACACAATGTCTACACTACCGCAGTAAGTCGACCTATATTATACTACTCCAACTACATGAATAATGAAGCTGGATTTAATGTAGCTTAGGTCAACTTACTGCAGCACACCATGCTAGGTCGATGAGAGATGCTCTCCCATCAACTTACCTTGCACCTCTTGTACCTGGATGTGTATTACTTATGCCTGATTACAGGAGTCAACTGGAGAGCTCTCTGCAGTTGATTTAGAGGGTCTTCACCAGACATACTAAATAGATTCCTGGTGCAATGGTTGCAGCAGACATACCTTGAGTCTTCATCTTCATCCAGATAACTATTCTCTGTGGGCATGTCAGCATTCTCTCCCCTCACCTGCATCCAATTCAAACACTGCCTCCACCTAAGGACAGGTACAGTGCCAGTGCAAGCACTATGGCTGCCATGCTGTAAGAGGACACTCCACCCCCCACCGCCCCGAGTGCCGCACCCCCAACCTGATGTCCCGTGTTTGGCATAGGGAAATCTGGTCACTCGAAAGATGGTTTTGTGATGCAGAGAACAGTCGGTCAAAAACATGCATCATCTCCTTTCAGAGAACAGTCGGTCAAAAACATGCATCATCTCCTTTCATAGGTGTCACCAAACAGCCCTCGGAATCTATGGGTTATCAGTAAAAGATTTTGCAGCCTATTCTGGTCAGAAAGACCGACACAGAACAAACTCCCCTTCCATTACTTTCCCTTCTAAAAGTTCCCTTCTAAAAGTTGCCATACACTAAAGTCATACAATAAAACATCTTTCCTTCAGTCACTTCCAGGATTTAGGACAAAGAGGAAAAAAATATATTTTCTTTCCTTTTTCCTCACCTGCAGATGATACACAACAGATGTTATCTGCTACTACCTTGTAATATACATATATTCAAGTAAGAGATGAGAATTACAGAAAACAGTGTTAGAACATAAGAATGGCAATACTGAGTCATACAAAAGGTCCATCTAGCCCAGTATCCTGTCTCCTGACACTGGACAGGGCCAGGTGCCTGAGAGGGAATGAACAGAACAAGTAATCATCAAGTGATTCCATTCCTGTCACCTATTCCCAGCTTCTGACAGAGTGGCCAGGGACACCATCCCTGCGCATCTTGGCTAATAGCCATTAATGGATCTACTCTCTATGAATTTGTCTAGCTGTTTTTTGAACCCTGTTTTAGTCAGACTGCACAACATCCCCTGGCAAGGAGTTCCACAAGTTGACAGCGTGTTGCATGAAAAAGTACTTCCTTCTGTTTGTTTTAACGTGCTACCTATTAATACCATTTGGTGAACCCTAGTTCTTGTGTTATGGGAACAAGTAAATAACTTTTTCTTATTCACTTTCTCCACACCAGTCATGATTTTATGAACCTCTATCATAACCTCCCTCCTTAATTTCTAAGCTGAAAATTTCCAGTTCCAGTGTTATTAATCGATCCTCATATGGCAGCCATTCTATATCCCTAATCATTTCTGTTGCCCTAGTCTGAATTTTTTTCCAATTCTAAAATATCTTTTGTGAAACGAGGAAACCACATCTGCATGCAGCATTCAAGATCTGGGCGCCCCATGGATTTATACAGAGGCAATAAAATACTGCCTTACTCCCCATCCAATTCTTAATGATTTCTAACATTCTGTTTCTATTCAAGCTTTTCTAGAGCACCTGTTGCCAAAGAACCCAGACACTTCCTTCACCACAGTTCCCTCCTCTATATTTTGTGCGTGTGTCTACAAGTAGGATTTATTTGACGAGGAAACATATATATTCTCCCTAACGCATTAGTATATGAGAAGTGTTCACAAGCATTTTCATGTTTAATTCATTATTGCTTGTAAAATTTCAACACAACCCTAACTATGATGCTGAAAGGGGATTTCCACAATTGAACTCCCCCCTCCACAAACTAAACATGCAGACAGCCCACAGAAGAGTAGCAAAGTTAAAGAGAAAAGCAGTCATGCAGGAAGAAACAAAGGGACAGCTAATGATTTACTATTTCCTTTGGTCTAAAAAGGTTACCAAGATACAATGGGGGCAAAGTAATTCATATATTGGTGCAAAGTGACCAAAACCCAGGAATAGGAGATGCAGTTGTGATCATGTTCACAGTAGAAAAATATATTAATTGTATAAAA